ACGGTGTTCTCTTTTTAGCCATCTCCAACTCTAAGACAATGTGGCAGTCTCCCTTGAGTACTCGTATATTGCAAGAAAGCAGTGATATGCCTTGTGTGGTATCCTTAGTTCTGCTTAAGTATGCAGTATTTACATTATTTGCTGAGATATCAATTGGTTTACGGTGAGTTTGTCCTAAGCAAAGGTACTTTTGACATGCCTTTATTTCTGACATATCATCTGTCCATATAGGGTACTCCATCGTAAACATATTTTTTTCTGCTTTGGCGTCATTGCATATACCCCGAGGGGCTGGATGGCAGCTTATCATATTCGCCTGCAGCTACTACTAGCAACGGAGGTTTGGTGGTTAAAACTTTCACTTCGTTGTAATTATTGATGTTAAACACTGTTGGCTGTCGGTAATTCTGAATTCCCTGGACTTCTTGCCTAGTAACTGACCTCCCTCGTTTTATCAGTTTAGTACCGGTGTGGCAAGATTTTTTCCCGTCCTGACTGAAATTCCCCGGGAAAATTAGCCTAGACTTGATTTCCCCCCTTGGGTGTGTTTGCGCGCGCGCGCGCGTGTGTGTGTGAGTATGTATATATATATATATATATATATATATATATATATATATACATATGTAAGCATGTACCGTGTGTGCATGTATATGTATATAGAAGGGTATATAGGGGGCTGCCCCGCTCCTACCCCCGTCTGGTCAACAAAACCTTCATCTCGTATGGGAGGTGGGGGTATCTTAGTCCAGAGGGAGAATATTATCCTGGGATAAAATTCTTTCAAGGGGATATCTCTCCGGGGTCAAGTTTCCACCGGGGGAATTTTGGACATGGGGTAGACCGGGAATCCATGGTACTTTGCGCTATCTGGGGATGACTGTGATAATGAAATCCCTCGCAACGTTTCAGCACCTTTCAGCTAGAACTGCGCATCAGTGACTGATGCAGCTTTAGCACCAAAGAAAGTGACTTTTAGTTAAATAATAAATCATAATGTTTTACTCTCTCTCAAAATCTAGTAAAAAATAAGATCTATTGGTGTTTGTTGATTTCCGATCATTCAGGAAAATTATCACATAACCGCCATCGCCTGGAGGTTTCCCATCGCAGTCCGCTGGGGTTGGCGCTTACATCTAGCTGCACACACCTCACCTTTGACATGATTGCCAATCCATGTTGTGGTGTTGCTTAGCTATAGCAGTACTACTAATGGACCACTTAGAGACAAAGGAGGGCGCCTGACGTGGCAATATGATTTACATATTCCATGAAAGCAAGTCCAACAATTAGTCTAGTCAACTGTAATTCCCTTTTGGGTATTTGGGGGCATGTAGATTCCAACTGGCAGTGATATTTGATAAGGCATGTCTGACTGGTTGCATTGTTAAATGACATCCATTCAGGACTGTAAAGATTATCACCAGGATATTCGTAAAAATCTCATATCTCATATCATATTTCATTATAGAACTTGTTCAGAGAGGCGGAGATGACGGCCCTGGTCAAAGTGGGAAGCGAACCTACATCATCTATATAATGTCCTAGGATAGGATAATGTTTGGTACAGCCGACATTTGGCACTGTCCATCCCTGTCACCCATGACAGAGAGAACCTTAAGTTTGGTCTAGTACTTAGGATGTCCATTGCTATTGGCTTATAGTTCAAATCTTCCTCAGAGTTGGTTGACAGAAAACTTTTCTCGGTTGCACTATATAACCATTACCTTAGAGAAATTTGCACTAGACGATTGTATTGGCTAGCTGACAAAACTGACTGATTAGCCCAAGATTAGACTGAGCAGCAAACTGACCTCGATTTATAACACTCCTGTCTCCACAACCCGCGCAGCTGACATTCATGTACTAAAATTACTGTGGGTGTCATTTTCTTGTAATATAGCTAAAGAGGGTACAACTACCATAAATATAAAAGATGACTAAGCATTTTTGAACCTTTTGGCCAGCCTTCCCCTTAGGATTAGAAAAAAAGTGCTATAGAAAAGAGGGAAGTGAAGCCCTCAAAACATGCACTTTTGATATCTGACTTGTATACGTCTGTGCTTACCCTTGTGTATATGTATTTACATATTTACTCAGTTTTATGTGTATATATTTTTGCGTTCACGTCTGTTTATGCATCTCTTTATATATAGGACCACACAAATGGTATTGTAAGGCTTTGCATATTCACAATCGCATGTGCCAATCCTTCAGTACAGCATGTATTTTTACTTGTATTTATCCGCAAACATTTTATTCATGTATATATCTTCTATCTAGTTATATCTAGTTAGGGGTGTGTCTTTTTGCGTGCATATTCTGTTTATATTCGTGAAGGCTCGCATTCGTCCGAACCCTTTCATTCTCCAAATGTGAGCTGTGACTCTATAGAAATTCGAGTGTTGGGTGAAGGGTCGCGTGTTCATACTTGTCGCCTTTCTCTCGCTCAGGGGAATACTTGAAACGTTTCGGTTCTTATAAAATCAAGTAAGAAAATATCCCTTGCAGTGATTCGGTGCTCCAAAGATCAAGTG